TTTGATTTCTTTCAGGATTTTGTATAGTTAGTTGATTTTTTTTTTTTTAAGTTGACTAATAACTTGAGTGTAAAAAGTAAGCTAACTTGTTCCATACATTAAAAAATGACAATCTTATATTTTTGGCAAACGAGACTAAACCGAAAGTATCGATAGATTATCAAAAATTAGGGCATTTGAAAATATAAATGGTTTCTTCCAGAGCTCGAAGATAACTATGAATCAATTTAAATGTTCGCATGGTAACGCTTATTAAATGAGAAATACACAAGCAGTCAGTGATTAATAAAATGATTCTATAGTGGTTAGTGGAGAGTGTGAAAGTTTGTTACCTTTTCACCCCAAAACGGTTCGACGGATTTGGATAAAATTTGGCACATAACATAGTCTAAACCTGAATTAATATAATGTTATATTTTTTTCAATAAAAGTTGCAACCTGTTTAAAAATCTGATATCAATTAAATTAATAACAGGGCAATTCTGGCTAAGATAGTGAGACAAATGAAAGAAAGCATAAAAGTCTTAGGTAAAAAGCACTCTCATTCACCACCCGTGTTGAAAAGCTATTTACAGAGAAAGCATCATTTGTATATCATTTAGCTCAGTTGCAATGGCCGAATGGGTAAGGCAGAGGAGTGCCGATTGAGAGTTCCGTGTTGGCGTTCTGACGTAGCGGTTTTTTCTTTTCTAATCTACATTTTTTTAATTTTTATTTAGGTTTTCTGATTTTTATTTTTATATTTTATATTTGTTTAATGGTTTGGTTGTTATTGGTTCAAAAATAATATTTTTTTTAATTTCATAAATTTTTTGGAACTTATTTTATTTTTCTCTTTTTTGAATAATATTTTTAAGTTAAATTATCTTTTGATTGTTTAATTTTATTGTGTAAGAAAAAAAACTATTTGAATTGAATTTTTTATTGTTTTGTTAATTTCATTTTCTTTTAACTTTTAGAATTTATCGTTTTAAAAAGAAAAATATAGTTTTTATTTTATTTTATT